CAGCTGTCTGTGGACCAGCACTTGTCTGCTGGTGGGCTCAGCTTTTCTTTTGAGATATATCTTTTGAGATATGGACAGGGAGATCTCTCCCCAGTTGCCATCACAGCGTTTGGAAGATGAATTCAATTTATTGCCAGTTAATGACAGGGTTGAACAGTGAAAACTAAAAGCAAAGCTAAAAATGCTTTTCTCCTACAACCTCTACTCTCAAGGTTCAACTTTACACTTGAAACGTCAACCTTCTCAAGATGAGTGGGACGGACTGGGAATGGGGCTGTGGTCAGTCCTTAATGCTTCATCTCTGCTGCTCCTCCATGGCCTCTATCTTGGGAATGGGATGGGAATCATCCTTTTGGGAATTCACCTCATGTATAGAAAGATGCACGAGCACGTTCAGCTGCACATGGAACACCTGAGTTGGGACGTGGCTCAGCTGTGGCAGAGGTTAGTGCAATGGAGTCAGTGGCAGAACTGGGCAGCCAAGGCAGCCCTGCTCCTTGCTGCCCTGCAGCACTGGCGGATCTGGGCCTTTCCTGAAGTCTTTGTCCTGCTCTTTGGTTTCCTTTGGTGCCTCAGGAAAACTAAATATTTGCCAGGAAGTAGCAGCATTACTTGGATCTGTACTGCGATCCTTACCATCTTCCTTAAGCCCTTCTTCTTCACGAAAGTGGCACGTATGCTGGCCTGGGGCAGCCGCAGCCAGAAAAGGTCCAGAAACAAGGAGGAGAATGACGATGAGGAAGAGAACAGTGACTCAGATGAGACATGGAACCTGGGCAGAGTCTGGGCCGACAGCACCCAGTGGCCAGCACCATACAAGGCCGACAAGTGCCAGCTGGTGGAGGAGCTGGTGGATGACCTTCTACGCACCTGCTGAGGACAAGCCTGCCACAGCTTCATGCCCCCCAACTGAGGTGCTCGCCCAACAGCTGCACCTGCCACGTGGGAGCTGCAGCTGCACGTTGGGCAGTGCTGGGCTGCCTGGGGCTGCCAGTTGTGTGGTGTCAGCATTGCTGCTGCCATCATGGCCACTGCAAAGGATGGGCTATGGTATGACTGGGCAGCCCAAGGAACCTGCAACTCTGGTGCTTCTGGTTGTCAGGGAGGCTCCTGCTGTGATGGGCCAGGTGTAAATCTGGATGCCACAAAGGGCAGAGTGTTGTAAGGTGGAGGAGCAGAAGTAACATCCAGGGTCTGGCTGCTGCTTGGTGGCAGCGGAGATGGGGCCAGAGGACGGCACCGTTCTTTCCCTTCTGCTGCAGCAGGATCTGGCAGGCTTGGAGTAGCGCTGCCCCGGGCTCGGGTGATGGCTTTCTTGCAGCTCTTGAGCAACAGGGACCCTGTGGATTCCACTGTCTGTATGCCAGCTTCTGGATCCACTGCCAGCAGGCTCCTTCCTTCCTTGCATGGACTGGGCGCCTGGGCTGTTCCTCAGGTGGCTCTCCTTTGGGTCTTCCTGCAAGGAAGGAACAGCCACATCTCTTCTCTTCTGAGCAACTCTTTTCTTGCAAGGCAGTTCTGAGTAATCTCTCTTGAAAAAGTGTGTTAAAAAAGAAGAGTAACTTAAAAATGCAAAGGAGAACAGCTAGTTGCTATCAGTTCAGGACTGAAAGACAGCAAGATAGAGGAGCTAAGACTTTCAATTGCTGAAGACAAACAAAAGCTCCATTGGTCAGTTTAATCCCACAGTTTAGGCTGACTACAACAAGATGTGTTGCAAATATATTAAAATAAATAGGCTTATCGTATCCTCATTTACTTATCTTTCCATTCCATGCATTCAAACTCAGATATAACCTGAATATATTTTACTCACATTTTTTCAACTCAGCAGTACTACCTCTAAAGAGCTGCCAACAGCCAATAAATAAATAAATAAATAAATAACCAGTGAAGATCAGAATATTTTCATTTCTCCTCGTATCTTCTATTACCAAGGTTTATTTTTCGGACCCTCATCTCTTGCAGGAGAATATTGCAAGAGTTGGTTCATGTGTGGAGCAACTGCTGTACTTTCCTGGAGGCAGCAAATGCTTCTTCCTCTCCCAGAAATCTGAGAAGTGAGGGAGGTCTTCTGAAGTCATGTGGTGTTTTGGTGAAGCCATACAGATTATGTTGTTGAACACAACTTTCGATCTTCATACTTCCAATCTCAAAAGCTCTTCAAGGCCCTCTTCTTCCCAGTACTTCCACCTGAAATATTACTTCATTGATTACAACACACTTTCTACTGTGACCCCACCAAATGCTCTCAAATTGGTAACTTTCACCCAACACCCAGAGTTTCTCTGGAAAGCTGAGGGCAGAAAAGATGTTGGGTTTGCCTGTACTTTCTTCATAAAAAGTATGAGATAAACATTTGGTTTTGTCTTCATCAATAAATGTTTCTGACTGCTTTCCATCCATTATCAATGCTATGGCAGCATCACCAGATGTTCCTTGATCCTGTCTTGGAGGATCAGCTGAAGGGCAGCCTTAGGATTCAGCCAGGTTCTCTGAATCAGAAGCAGATGTTTCTGCACATGGTTCACTTTCTCTCGTCTCCATTTGCCCAAAGTTTGCACTTGCAGCCATTTCTGCAGTGAGAGTGTCTCTGCCCTGCTGGTCAGCAAGCAAAATCCAATGGAACTGTCTGAGGGTTCCAGTGGGAGATGCTCAAATGTCACCATGTCACTCACAAGTCACCACAATGGCATTACCATGTGGTGCCCAGAGCCTGGTTGGATGCAGCAGCCTGAGCAGATGTTGCTGACCTGCACTTATTGTTTGTCCTGCACAGAGCCACAGGTATATTAACTTCAGTCAAGAAGTAAATAAAACTCTACTTAAAGGGTACCGCTCCTCACCCAGACCTTGCTTGCCCTTCCCTGCATGGTCCACTGAGTAGCTCCCTTCTGGTTCTCCAGATGGCAGCAGGAATCAGCTTCCCAAGCAAGGCTAACAAAAGAAAATAGTGATCTCTTCCCAGTTTGCCGCCATTTCTTGCAGACGCTCTGTGATTTCAATAGCACAGCTTCTGCAGGGCAGCTGTGTGCACAGGCAATGCTCTGCCATGTCAGAATCTCCCAGAGGCTGTTCTGTAGGTCCAACTAGAACAAGACACCAGGTCTGTTTTCCTGATGGCATCAACAGGAGATGTGCAACCCCGCTTTTCTTTGGTTTGGTTCCAGTGCTTTCATTTGATATTTTAGAAATCTAGAAAGCAATCCAACAAAACCAGTGGTGTTCCCAAAGCCATTTGAATCACACCCCTTTCTACAGGATTAAGTGCTTTATCTGAAGGGAAAGGTTTGATGTAGAGATGGTGTCTGGATGCAGGACTGGATTGTAGGATACGTTTGAGAATAGCACTACACTGGTAGGAGCTATTCACTCCTTCAAAGGTGGAGAAATCTTGCAGAGAAGTCTCGACAAAATCACCAACAGCGTGAAGCTGAACAAGAGCAATGTTGGATTCTGCACCTGGGATGGGGCAGCCCCAGATGTATGTACCTCCTGCACTGGGTGCAGCTTTGGCTGCCATAATGTCAGAAGGAAATAAAACTGTTAGAGAGTATCCAAAGGAGGGCTGCAATGGGGAAGGGTCTGGAGAGCAACGTTTATGAGGAGCAGCTGAGGTCCTGTGGTTTGCTTAGCCCAAAGCAGAGGGGGCTGAGGGGAGGCTTCGTGGCAGCAGTTTGGATTTCAGGTGGTTCTATGTGGAGCCAGGAGTTGACTCAACGATCCCTGTGAGTGCATTCCAACTCGGATATCCTGTGATTCTGTGAGCACAGTCTGCTCACTGTACCTACACAGTAACTTTCTCATTTCTACGATCCACCCCATTTGAAAAAAAAAAAAATAAATAAATAAAATAAAAAAAAAATTAACGATCACCCTGGGGTACTGATTTTTTTTGGCTGTTGTTTCACAACACCACGGCAATCGCTCACGTCCCAGAGCCTCGCAGTTTGGCTAGCATTTTACCTGCCCGTGACCGTGCCGGCAGGGCTCACCCGCTCTAGCCACACCAGCCCACGAACCGTCGGACTCCCCTCCTCTCGAGTCCGCCATTCAGGGCCCCGGAGGCGCATGCGCGTGGAGGCGGACATGGCGGCGGCGCTGGGGCTGCGGCGGAGCGGTGGCCGCGCCTCAGTCCCGCTGTTGACGTTCCCGCTGCTGAGAGCGGCCCTGGGGCTCCCGGGTAAGGAGGGGCTCCGGGGCTGCCCTGCTGGCGCTCCTTCGCCGCCAGCCAGGGCGAGATAGGGGTGTCAGGGCATGGCGCCGGTCCCGGGGGTGGGAATGGGCCGCTCCGCTTCTTGAGCGAGTGCACGGTCCTGCGCTTTAGTCGCAACAGCCCCGTGCATTGCTACACGCTGGGAGCAGAGTGGCTGGAAAACTGCGCAGGGGGAAAGGAGCTGGGGGATGTTAGCGGATAGCTGAATGTGAGCCGGCAGTGCGCCCAGGTGGCCAGGGCCAGCGGCGTGTTGGCTTGTATCAGAAATAGTGCAGCCAGCAGGAGCAGGGAGGTGATCATCCGTCTGTACTCAGCTCTGGTGAGGCTGCATCTCATGTACTGCGTTCAGTATTGGGCCCCTCGCTACAAGAAAGACATTAGTGCCCTGGAGCATGTCCAGAGAGGGAAAAGAAACTGGTGAGGGTGTGGAGCACAAGTCTTATGAGGAAAGGCTGAGAGAGCTGAGATTGTTGAGTCTGGAGAAGAGGAGGCTCAGGGGAGACCTCACTGCACTCTACAACTTCCTGAAGGGAGGCTGTGGTGAGGTGGGATCAGCTTCTTCTCCCTTGTAACAGTGATAGGACGAGAGGGATGGCCTTAAGTTGCAGCAGGGAAGGTTCAGGTTGGATATTAGAAAACATTGCAGTGAGGCAGTGGCACAGGCTGCCCAGGGAGGTGGTGGAGTCACCAGCCCTGGAGGCATTCAAGAACTGTGTGGATGTGGCATTGAGGAACATGTAGTGGGCATGGTGGGGAGCTGATGGTTGAATAGATGGTCTTAGTGGTCCTTAGTGATTCTATGTGGTGATTCTATGAAATAAGGAGAAGAAAGTACTGGGTAGTTGTACAGATAATTAATGTTCTGAGCTGTTGAAAGAGGAGTCCTAGCATGTGACTGCAGGGAAGTATGCATTGTAGTTGGCTGGCTGAGGTGATTTCTTTAGGCTTTTGGATTATTTGAGTTTGAATTGCTGCTGGTGGATGTGGAGTAACTTGCAGAATGCACAGCATTTGTTCATGAAGTTGTTTCGTTCTCTTGTGGCTCAGTTTAAATTTTGCTTTGTCTAGGGCAGGTTGAGGTCAGTTCCAGAGTGCTATAGGATGGAAATGTAATGGCTTGGAAGATGGTTATGAGTACATATGGGAGAGACATATTCCTCACTTTTTTGTATGAAGTTTAGCAGTTATTGATGCATCTCTTACTGACAGGCAGACAGAAATGATTGCCTTACTGATAGAGACAGTGCATAGTGTGGATGTATCTAAACAAACTTCTAGTGTTGTATCTATTCCCCATCGTGCATCAGTGGGATGAAGAACTGTCCCCTCTTTACGAGAGTGATAAAAATGGCACTTTTACTTGTACACATGCAAACTGAAACAAAAGACTTGAATATAATATCTTTGTTTGTGAGAGGAAGCAGCAGAATAGCTAAGGGTTGTGGCACTCTCAAAGCTGGTTTTTGCAGTATGTTGACCAGTGGTTATACCACCACGGTGTGCTGATATATTTTTTTAGGGTTGTGCAGTTTTTGTGCTCCACTTTTTGATCAATGGTATTCAAGAAGCAGTGCTCCTCTAAAGATTGTCAGAGTCTTATCAGTCTTATCAGAAGTCCTGCCCAAGCTTTCCCTTGCTGAGAGGGATAATAGAGTGGATTAATTCCTTGTAACACCTCTCTACAAACCACTTATCTTCATCCACAGTAGAGGTAAAGCTGACTGCTAAATTCAGATTATATACAGTAGCAGCTGTTGAAACTCAACATAGTTTTCATTTCGTAGCACTTCCTTTATCAATCTGTGTTCCTTGCTCGAAGCCAGCTCCATTTGTGGATGGTTGTTAATGCAAATAACAGCTCAGACCTCAGTGTTTTCTTTCCAAGTGTGTCTGGGTTGTTGTCTTTAGCCTTAACAAAAATGAAAAAAATACGTTCTTAGTGTACTGGTGGGAAAACTGCTAAGGTCTGACAGTACATTGCAGGTCACTTTGAAAGAAGTTGAACTAAATAATCTTGCACTTTTTAAATACTTGCAAAATATTTAGCTTCTTGTGGGTAAAGAGAGCCACTTGAGTGCAGGTAGAATTTATCCTCTCCAGGAAGAATGCACAAGAATCTCCCATGCGATGGGAGATGTTTGCTTCTTCAGGAGATGCATGAGAAATTCATAGGTCTACAACAGTCAACTCTTTCTCCTTACGAGTTGTGTTTAATACATTTTTCTCAGTATTAACAGAAATTAACAGCTTTATTCTTTAATCTTTTGTGTCTAAGGAAAAGAATGCTGTTAAGATGAAACAGTTGTGAGGAACTTGACTCAGAGCTTATCACCCTGCTAGTTTTCAGTGTTCAAGCAGCAATAGCTGTGAGAGGCTGTGTGTTACGTATTTCATCCCACACAGTGCTTTAGGTTCAGAACAGAATTACTTGGTATTCAGTTAACTTTTTTTTAAGCCAATGAAGAAGCTGTCATTTTACGAGAGATAAGTAAATATTCCAGATGATATACAATGTGAGGAGAAGCATAGCATATCTTAGTGCTCAATTTCTGTCAGCCATTTTACTCATTGCTGAATGGACTCCTTATGTGACTGATGTTGCTACCAAGCACCTTCAAATCATTACATTACAGTATTGAAGAGTGTAGAAGACACTTCTGTTTTTCTTTTCTCCTGAGCCTGTGTCTTAATTTCACATAACATGTATATATTTCCTGAATTCTCATTTTATAAAATGTTATTATTTCTGCCAGAGCTGTCTTGGTGGTGGTACTTCATAGCTCTCCTTATTAGTTTGCAGGTGGAAATCATCAGTCAGTTTTCTTACTCGACCAGATCGACCAAATCTAGCCTACCGTAAGCTGAAAGGCAGGAATCCAGGGGTTATTTTCCTTCCAGGCTTGCAGTCAAATATGAATGGTCAGAAAGCAACTGCCCTTGAAGATTTCTGCAGCAGTCTAGGTCACGCCTTCGTCAGGTATGTAGAAATGTTGTTCTTGAGAATATGAAATAGGTATCATCCATAGACTTGGGTGTTTGATTTGAGGTGCATGCTGTGCTGCATGCAAGCTAATGAGTGTCTCTCTTTCAGATATAGAATTTCTATCTGTTGAGGGGCTGAGGTAGATCAGGACAATGTAATTTGAAAGAAATGTATCTAAATTTCTGTGGTCTAGCCAGTGTTACATGTTAAAGCTAAGGGCACAACAAAGAAAAATAAAGAAAACACTTAGAAATATTAGTTTTAGTATGTGAAATACTATTTTTTTTCTAAATTATGTCTGTAAGCATGGTTTTTAACTGCTGAATTGTACTGAGCTGTCCCATGCCTTCTGTGGTTGTGGAGAAACGTGCACATGCTTGGTGTAATATATTTTGAGTATTCCGGCTGAATGCTGAGCTTTGTAAGTCTTCCTGATTGCATAAAGCATTTGGAAGAGCTTTTGCACTTGTAAAGAGCCTTTAATATTGAAGTATGTTGTTTTTTAGTTGTAAGGGAATTTGTCAAATTCCTTGTTTGGGAAATACCCTGATAAATTTGGATATGGCTACGTGAAATGCAACTATTTGATCATATGTGTATAAACCACATAGTGATGCGTGGGACCAAGAAAGAAAATATTCAGTGCAGTATATTGGGTCCTCTGTTTAATTTCTGTTAAACAATACTGCTTAGTTTTTGTACCTGTGTTGCTGTAGGTAGGTACCACAACTTTTGATGATCATTTTTTCAGGTTTGATTATACAGGATGTGGAAGTTCACAGGGGAACTTTGAGGAGTGTACGATTGGGAAATGGAGAAAAGATGTTCTGTCTATACTGGATGAACTTACAGATGGACCACAGGTTGTATTTCATTCTTAAATATAGAACATGTTTTTTCCTCAAGATGGAATATTGTACAATCAAAAATATACTGCAGTAGGTGCTGCGTAGAGTAGCTTCTGTTTAATAACTTGCATCTGGTAGCTGTCAAGCAGACTCATTTGAGATGACATTATTTGTAGGGCTTCTTTTGCAAACAAGTGGATCACAACTTTATGAAGGTATGGGTTGGCAGGGGATGGTTCAGTAGAGCAGATCTGTCACTGGCACTGGGTTACATCAGCCCTGGCCTGGTCCCAAGAGATTTGGGAAAGGCTTGTGGAGGGACAAAGAGGGACAAGGAGCTCCTCGTGGAAGCTCTCCTCATGGAAGAGTGAGGCTTTGTTCCACTGTTGATGTATTTATTGAGGGATTTGCAGAAATGTTGAAAGTTAAGATGTTCTGTATGATAAAATAGCTTTAAAAAAAAACAACAGCAGAAACAATATGTTTGGCTTCTTCATTTACTTTTGAAATGAGTGTGAGAAAGTCAGTCTGCATCCCAGAAAAACATAATACTGTATTTGAAAAACATTTTATTTTCTGAGTTGCTTTTGCTGACCTCTGTCACTGCACAGAGCCTTTGTGATGTGCATTTATTTTAAGAAGGGAAAAAAATATGCATGCGATACTGAATTGCTTCAACTCTCATTTTGTTTACAGTGTTTCAGTCTCAGAGGCCAATAATCAGCCATGTCAAACAAAAAAGAATAATAACATTCCAGATTCTGCGGTGCTTACTCAGGCAAAATTTCCACTGGAGGTGACAGCAGTTCTGCCTGGGTAAGGACAGCAGGATTATGTCCGAGGTTTAAGTAGTTAGATGAAAGCTGACGCTTTGTAAAAAGAAAACAAAAGCTGTTTCCTATAAAATAACATCTGATTTTTTCTCTTTTAAGATTCTAGTGGGCTCCAGCTTAGGAGGATGGCTGATGCTTCATGCTGCAATAGCACGCCCAGATAAAGTCGCTGCTCTAGTTGGAGTAGCTGTAGCAGCAGACCATCTTGTGACAGCTTTTAAGAGGCTTCCCATTGAGGTAAAGCTGCTCATTGTCTGTTGTGCAGTCAAAAAATTTGTCAAGGTAAATGCTTGAAAAAAAAATCTGTTGTTCAAGCTGTACTTTCCCTTCAAGTCTTCCAGTATTTTTTCTGTGTTTGTGGTGGAGGTAAGCAGAAAATGTATGATAATCAAAGTGTCTGCGAAATACATTGCTTCTAGTATGATGCTGGTATGAACCTATCCTGTGTTTATGTTACTGTGGCATACAGGATGTGAAGTCCGATCCCTGTTGTTCAACAGTCTATTAGATTTCAGTGTTGAAATACCTTATATCTGCATTAAAATTGGGTTGAATCCTATTCAGCGTACTGAATACTGAATAGATAAGGATTGTGCTTTCAAGGGGCAAAGTTGTAGTGTGTTTAGAACAAGAATAAATAAAATAAATAAAGAACAAATAAAAAAGACACCATTGTAACATCTGTCTTTTATACCTTGCACTTTTTATAGGTACAGAAAGAAATAGAAGAGAAAGGTGTATGGAAGTTTCCAACAAAGCATAACGAGGAAGGATATTACTCCTTGACCTACGACTTCATTAAAGAAGCAGAAAATCACTGTCTGCTCAATAGCCCTATCCCTATAATGTGTCCCATCCGTCTTATTCACGGCATGAAGGATGGGGACGTCCCTTGGCAGATCTCTATGCAGGTTGCTGATCGTGTTCTGAGCAAAGATGTGGATGTCATCCTCCGCAAAGCCGGCCAACATCGAATGAGTGAGAAGGAGGACACAAAACTTCTTGTGAATACCGTTGATGATTTAATTGACAAGTTGGCAACGCTAACATAATCTGCAGAGTAGCACGAATAGATGAAGCCTACACCTGACTCTCTTCCATCAGTAGCAGAAACCCTGTTCTCACTGAGATTATTCTAGTGGCGTGACTATCACAGTAGGAACAGAGCTCTATCTGCTGTTTCCTTACCTCTGTTTTGTAAATATAGATATATATTTTTTTTAATGCTGCATTTGCACAGATAGACCAAAATGTAAGGAAGTGCTGCTGCTGGGTATAGAACCTCTGCTTTACCTCTTAAATCTTTTTTTTCACGAGCTTCCTACCCTTTTGTACTGAAATGCTCATTCAGTTTTGTTACTGTTGACCTTGTACAGTACAATTTCCCATGTTTTTGATGCTGTTTCAGTACAGTTGTTTTCCTATAATGTTGTATTTCATCCCTCTGTGCAAGGCAATGCACGATTTAAGTGTTTACTGAATTTGCTGATATTAGAAATAGTGAACAATATGAAGTAAACAGACTCTTCATCACTGATGGTAGTATTCTTAAGCAGTATTTACATTCTAAAATGAAAGGCACTCCCTGATGGTGTGCTTGGGGTGATGAATAAGGAGTAAGTTAATTTGGGATTTCCTTATAATATATGAAGACAAAACTTAACAAAGATGAATGCCCCCACTCCTGTTGCAGAGGCTTTAAGAGCTTATGGACATACAGCCTTAAAGTACAGGTAGAACCCTTTTATATATGCTCATCAGAAGTACTTAATCACTTCATGCCTTTCATAAAAAATAATTTATGGAACTACTGCTAAGGGAATAATATATCATCTTGGTGTTAAGTCAGCAGTTTCACATCTTCCTTGAGTTTTGAAGCTTTACAACCTCTTGAAGACATACTTTTGAGGAAAATGAACAAAGACAACATATGCAGATTGCTCAGCCCATTCCATTCCTGAAGGCTCAATGTGTTTATGTATTGTTGAACACTTACCGTCTATGTGTAGCCATGGGACACTTGCACGTAATAAAACCTGAAAAGTTTTGTGAGTTATAAAGACATAGGGAAATCACAATTAAGTTAATTAAAAACTTTCTGCTCGTAGATTACCCATGATAATTTTTAAAGGTATTTTGTCACATCTTTTGGATTGCTTTGCCTCCTAAGAAAAAGTTGAAAAAGGTGCAGTGCAGGAATTCAGGAGTAGTTAATATCAATTAAGGCTTAAAATTATCAATCATGATAGATGCATTTTAGGTTTCTTTTTTTTCTTGTTTGGTTTTTAATTGAGGCTCATGCCTATAAACATTCAGTTCAACTGTAGCAGTTCAGACAGGGAAATATGTTTAAATGTGTGCATAATCTGGAGCTGTGTAACTCTCTCGAAAGAATTACACTGTATTCTTCCAAAGCTTCACCACAGTGTTTATTTAGTTATTCATATTTCATGGGTAAGGTCGTCTTGTTGCAGTGCCTTTGAGCAAGATAGTGGAAAACAGATGTGAGGGGAACAGTTGTGTGAGTGGTTTGGAGAGTGGGTTTTTGTCTCCCCACTGTTGTAACAGCGTTCAGGTGAGAGAAGGCAGGTGAGCATAGTTGTTGAGGATACAAAACTGCAGCATCAGTTGCCTTAATGTAAGCATTACCAAAGGGTCATGATAGGGGTATTTTTGTGCTAGTTGTTTGGTAGATCTGCCTGTTTTCCTTACTTCTCTCCTTGCTGAATGGCGGTTAGTGATAGCATTTACATTACAGTTACAGCCCTCACTTGGTATATACGGTGTAAGTGCAAAAACAGGTTGTACTTCCTTAGTAGAGATATTATTCCAGACAGTGCATTGAGATTCAGTGAATACTAGTGTCCCTCTCTGTTCTCCCTTGCCACTTTATTAACTCAGTATGTATTCCTGTAAATATGAAGAGGCAGACTTTTTGTAGGCAGATGTTTTTTCCTCTAAATTTACCACTGTAGCTCTGTTCTCATTGCAGGCACAGCATTTTCCTTGTGTTCATGCTGGAAACTGCCAGCATTTTGATCACTGCCAGCTTGTGTTCAGATGCCAGGAAGAGGGGATAGATGATAACCAATAGGCTCCAACACGTTCTCTGTTACCATGCTGATGTTGTCAAAGCTGTGCTGCTAATTGTAGTAACAGAAAGTCTGAAGGAAAACAACATTATGGCACAGCTTTCCCAATGCTGAAACCAGAGATTTACATCGTACTGATGGCCAGCTCTTGACCTCTCAGGAAATTTTGACAATCTTGAGTAACAAAATATTTGTATGTTAGAGTGTTGTCAGTTTATTTTCTATACTATATTTGTCCCCAGAATTACTGCATGTGGCATCTCCTTCATCTTTGCCTTGTAGGTGTCTGGATAATGAATCGTTTTCAATGTTAGTGGTGTAAGTATAATAAGCAAAAAGACAAGTATAAATAAACTTCTGTGGAAACATTATATTAAACTAGGGTACCACATGTTTGGAAAGAGGTATAAATTATTAGAATTTTTTTGTAATGAATTGTTAGCCTCTGTTTGTTTTTTGCATACATCTTATTTTCTGCCAAGTATAAAGTGTATTTTATGAATATGTAACATGCACATTTAAACAGTATTTTGTGTTTTCTGATTTACCAGTATAAGCAGCTCTATCTTGTGGCTCTTGGAGGATTGTTTTTTTCTGAGTACCTTCATCTATCCTTAGTTATTTTTGCTAAGTACTCGTAATTTAAGTTGTTAGTAAGCGTCTTCATTATCCTTCACTTTTGGCAGGTCTGAAAATGACTTCTGGGCTCATCTGTCACTAAGTGTAGTACAGATGTGGGGAGTGATGCTGCTGCCATGTGGAACGTGGAAGCTCTGGACACAAGCAGAGCAACTCAGCATATTCTCTTGTTGATTTTGATCAAAATACCTGGGGTATTTTTCTTCAGTGCATAACAACATACAGATCATTAACTCCTGCCAAGGAATCAAATTTCATGAGTAAGTAACAAAAAGCCTATATAGCAAGTCACAGAAGCTTGATTACCATATAATATCAAAGAATCAAGTGCTAGATGTCACCAAAAGAAACAGAAGCATTAACCACTGACTTCAGTTGTCTCTGTCCTTAATGATGGTTTTGTTTCCAGTTTGCTGCAAAAATCTGTGGAACTACTTGAATTGTGAAACACAGATGATTCTTCTTTCTGAAGGGAGGGAAATGTTGGATTCTTTTGCATATGTGTGTGATTAAGCTCTGCAGTAGACCATAATGCACTGAAAAAGTCTATAAAGCATATTAAACTGGTTTCCTATCAAGCAAGTACTCAGCCTCTGAATAGTAAGTTGCGCTAATGTAACTTCTTATACATCAATTTTTATCCTGTCTTGTATTCCAGTTGTTCTGCACCTTTTGTTGTTTGGCTTTGTAGTACATGCAGCAGCATTTTTTTCCTTTCTCGGTTGAGTTCCATGGTATGAAGTGTACCATACAGCTTCAGTGGAGGCAGTTTATTTTCTCTTGCACAAACACTGAGTACAAAAACATCCTAGCTGGACAGGCCTGAGAGGAACTGCCTCCTGCTGCTTCTTTCTTATGTTAATTTTGATTACATGCTTTCCCTTGGACATGCTTACTCCATGGAACAAAGAGATTTACGGTACGCTGCTTTTCATATCAAGTAAAAGTATGCTATGGAGAAGAAACTTTCAACTAGTGATGTTCACAGCTGCTCTCGTGTTTTTAGTGCTCTAGTTGCACTGCAGTACACGGTTAAAGCATTTTCTGAACAAGAGCAGAAGGAAAACTGCCTTGGGGAATACTAAGATATGAAATTCATTGTCAAGTATTACTCAGTTGTCCTGTTAGAAAGAGGTCTGCCTTTCACTTCAGAATTATTTATTTAAAAAAAAAAAAAAAAAGTAAACAATTATGTTAAAGCTTTATGACCTCATAGGTCAGCTCACCCAGTTTAGATTGACTTTGTTGCTGCAGGATCTCATCTCTCTTTGGTATGTATTTATAGAATCATAGAATTGCTCAGGTTGGGAAAGCCCATAGAGATCACCAAGTCCAACCACAACCTAACCATACTACCCTAACAACCCTCTGCTAAATCATGTCCCTGAGCACCACATCCAAAAGGTTTTTAACACATCCAGGGATGGCGACTCAGCCGCTTCCCTGGGGAGCCTGTTCCCATGCTTAACAATCCTTTCTGTAAAGAAGGTTTTCCTGGTATCCAACCTAAATTTACGCTGGCACAACTTGAGGCCATTTCCCCTCATCCTTTCACCAGTGAGAAGAGACCAACCCCACTCTTGTTGTAAACACCTTTCAGGTATTGGAGGAGAGCAATAAGGTCTTCCCTCAGCTTCCTTTTCTCCAGACTAAACAGTCCCAGTTCCTTCAGTTGCTCCTCATGGGGCATATTCTCCAAGCCCTGTTGCCCTTCTCTGGACCTGCTCCAGTACCTTGGAGTCCCTTCTGTACTGAGGTGCTCAAAACTGAACACAGTACTTGAGGTGAGGCATCACCAGTGCTGAGTACAGGGGCTGGATTACTTCCTTAGTCCTGCTCACCACACCACTCCTGATACAAGCCAGGATGCCATTGGCTTTCTTGGCACCAAGAGGTCTGGTTGCCTCCCACATGGACATGTGAGAAGGTCGGCTCTGCCTGTTGGCTGGGAGCAGGTGCTGTGTCTGGGCAAACATGCTGGGAGCAGCACGCCTGAGGGCTGAAGTCCCTGGGAGACATTGGTTGTCTTGGGGCAGGTTGGGCCTTAGGATCCTTTGCGTTGCTTCTGTACATGGCAGGTTTGCAGGGCAGAACATGTGGCAGGATGTGCTCCTCCTCAGATGCTAATTCTTGAAGTCCCTAACAGCAAAGTGAAGTCTCTAATAATAATAAGAGAATACGTATTTGAGGGATTTTTTATTTTCTTTTTTATTTTTGGATATGTCTTGCTCTCTGTTTTAACCAATGTTACATTAAAATAAAGATGATACTTCTCTGTTCTTTCAGTGAATGCATATGACAAGGTGATTTTCAAGCCACAGTAGCTCTTAGAAGGTATTGGTTTTGCTGGTGACAGATAAAAAGGTTATGTGATGAAATATACATGTTGATTTTCTTCCAGGGAGTTTGTAAATCCTCAACAAGATTTAGAAGATCCTGAGACTTAAGACTGCTTCTGCTGTCAAGCGGCCTGGAAAGCAAGTTGTCTCCCAGGTTCTGATATCTCTGCCACCTGGTTTGTGCTGTTAAAAGATGGCAATGCTCAAATAGCTTTTTGTTTGTTTGTTTTCATGTGTAGAACGTATCCAAGTATCTTACGACAAAGAAAGGCCATAAACAGACCAGGTCTGCAGAATACTTCTCTGTCCTTGCATTTCTCTACAGATGCCCTGGGCTTGCACAGCGTTCATATTTATACTTAGCATCATCTGTGCATCTCTAGAAACTGCAGCGTCAGCACATAGGTGTATACATAGGGAGCATCTTCAGCAAACCTCCAGAAGAGTTTCCTTGTGAAAGGATGTGCTCAAAATTCTACAACTTTGGAAACTTTCCTTTTTTTTTTTTTTTTTGTTTTTGTTTTTGTTTTTATTTTGTAACCTGGTTGTGAAATACTTGCTGTTGCATTGTGGTGACTGGGGGAATGGAGCCTGGATTTGCCAGTTATTCTAATTGCTGGATTGCTTTATCTCATGGGAGTTGATCAGCATACTTTTGACAGTATTTGGGGATGGCTGAAATCACCAGACTCTTTCTATGGAGCGAGTTGACAAACACCAAATCTAACAAAGGTCAAGGGTTGCTTTGTGAGAGAGCAAGGTATACTTTTCTCTTTGTGTTCCAGTTAGAAGGCATTGAAGGCTGTGGGTCTAAACACAGGTAGTGAGGAAATTAACATCAGCTTTACTGTTGCTGGCAGCTGTTCGCAGATTTACAAAGATTTTGAAACTTGTAATATTGTGATTATCTGTATTATTTGAAGCATAAGATGAGCCACGGCATTTACAGGCATTAAATCTTAATTTGAAGTCTTCAAGCTCCCTCTCCATTTGCTAAAAAGAATTCTATTTTAGCTCCATCTTCCATTCACTCGGTAGAATTCTATTTTAGTTCTAAGTTCCAATCTTGGGTTACCAAGGAAAAATAAATGAGACAAAATCTATTGGAAACTGTAAGTGGAATGTTCTAATGGTAATACCTTTGCTGCTGAAAGTCTGATCCTTTCTTCCATGTCATGATTCTGACCATCAGTCTGTTGTATACATTTATCCAAGAAAAGAAACTTGAATTCTCCTTTGCTTTGAAACCACATGTGCTTGCCATTTCTTAACTTGCAGTTTTGGTGAGCTAAACAGGTAATCCTTCTTACTTCCTATTTACTGCAAAGAGTCTATTGTCAGTCCTCTGGTCACTGGAATAACTATTTGAATTTCCTGTATTCTTTCATCACTGTTTGTGGAGAGTGAGTGTCAGAACCAGCTGTAGTGATTCTCATTGCTGCTGCACCTTCTGCACTTAGCTCAGTGGAGTCCTTTGGTCACAGTATCTTACCCAGACACTGTGCCCACCTGATGATATTCCATCACCCTCTGTGTTTCAGCATCTGCTGCTCTGCAGAACAGTGCTACATTCTATAAAGCAGTTTCCTGTCTCTGACTATGGCTATGTTGAAATACCATTTTACCTGCTTCCAGGTAGACTGTTTTCAAGGAGTTGTCATTATTTTTGTTGTTTGTTCATTGAAGCTTGTGAAGCTTATGTTACTGAGAGTTTGGGCTTCCTTTGTTTTTGCTGATAACACATTAAATAGCTCAGGCCTGGAAACACGTTCCTGTACAAACTCAATGAAAATATACCTGATAATTAATTTCTCAATTACAGTCATTACAGTTAGCTTTAATTTCTTTACTGAGTCGTATTGCTTTAGAATCAGTTTAGCTCCCTGATCAATTAGTGTGCAGTCACTAAGCACACTGTATTGCAGAGCTCTTAGTACATTGTATCATCACCATCTCTTTTCAAGCCAAACTCGTTCCATTGTTTTTTCTGTGGCTTGATGACATAAGAGCAGGCTTACAATTTGATTGCCGTGCTTTGAAAATATTGGTATGAGTCTGGTGTTTTTCCAATCTTCTGCAGCTTTCCTGGGTTTCAAAGCCTTATTAAAAATTGATATTGAAGGACAAGATGGCTTTTCAGCTTTCTTGGCCTGAGTGATCCCTCGAGAACACGTTGCAGAGCCAACATCTGTGAAGGGAGAGACCTTTGCTCTTCAGCTCAAGAGAGTTAAATTACCCACTGCTGCCCCCAAGTCAGAAAGAAGGTCAGAGGCTTGTGCAAGGAGGCATGGCTTTAGTGAAATCCCATTGCTAGTAAGCACACAGCACCCTGATGTGACCAGAAACAAATGAGCAGTCTTGGGAGCTCTGTTTTAAACAGAAGAATAAAAAAGATCTGACAGTACAAAATGTAGGTTGGTTTTTTTTTTTTTTATTTTTGTTTTTGTTTTTGTTTTTGTGGGACTGGCCAAAGAGTGGAAGGTCCTAACTATCTTGTGCTGTATTTTACTGTTGCAGCTGCAGTTTGCTCCTACTCCAGTCTTCAGGCTTGGTTTGCACTCTTGGTCCTGCACATTTGCTTTGCATCTAACAGCGTGTTCTCAGGAATGGAAAGTGTTCAAGTGATGGCCTTGTCACGTAACAGGCTCTGAGTTATGTAATCCAATATTTCATGGGGTTTTAAAACTACCAGTGCATAGAAGAGAAAGCACTAAATGAAATGCTCGTGGAAGACAACAGTAAATCAGGTCATCTATTAAATTTTTCATCTCGAGTTTTTTCAAGCCCAGGAGCATCCTGAGCAGTATAAATCTGAGAATTTGTGGTTATAAAATAAGGAAATAATGGATGAGGAGGCCATTATGAGACAGGTAAACAAGCAGCTGTACTTTTTTTCTCCTTATTTTATTTTTTTTCCAAGGCTGTAGAAGGAGTTTTTCTGGTAATGCTGACTGTGAATCCTTCTTGGGTTTGTCAGCCTCCTTTCATTTCCAGCTGATCGCAATTCATTTGCCAAATGGGAGCTGTTTCTTAGCAGGGCTGATGCAACTCAGACTGGAGTGCAGTGATTTTGTTTAACAAAGAATAAACCTGTGCAAATGACATCTGAAGAAGAATCTCTTCTCTTTCCTCTCTTCCCTTTTCCTCCCACCACTGCAGTGGTACAATCAAAATTAAACCTCTGTACATGGGCATAGCTCCCTTGCTATTGCTGGAGGCATGCTGACTCACACCCACAGAAAGCACAACCTCTGTGCTTTACAGTATAGTTACTAATTTTCACTGATCCTCCCTTGTTTTTAGTGGCTCAAGTTATTTTCTTGGGATGATATCTGGTAGCCTAATATATAGCACAGATAGGGTGATGGTAACACTCTGCTTCCTGCTTTCTCTTCCTTGGCTTTCCATCTTATTCTCCCTGTACTGTAGCTTTTTTGAGCACTTGGGCAGGCTGGAGGAGAAATTACTTTTCATGCTGTAAACCTGCTAGCATCATGCTGCAGAACAGGGAGAAAAAAGGTTCTGCTTCTGCTTCATGTTTAAAAATAAATGAAATGTGTAGTAAATTGTGAAATGTGTATGCCCTTTGTGTAACAGGGCATATGATGAAGCCCCTCTGTTTACATTGCTAACTATCGGGAGCTGGGATGCTTGCTGTAGTTTGGGGTGATGCAGACTAGGTGGAATAAAGCTGAGTCTGTGGGGTGAACCGCACAGGGCTGAGAAAACACGCCTGAGAGCAGTCTGCAGATGGGCGAGATAAACAGATCCCCCAGCTGCAACGGAGGAGGCAGGCCTCTTTAATGGCTCTTAGCAACGCCCCTGCTCTGACCCTCCTCATATGTGAGGAAAATCAAATCAATACACTGTTCTTCAAACCACGATGCTGCAGCAGCAGCAGGGCATTGTGGCAGCCTCTGTCTCTTAAATCCATTGACGCTTTTCAGGTTGCTGATCTGGATATCCATCCCTGCATCTCTGCTGAAGAAGAACCCGACTGCATCTCAAAAGGATTCCTGGAGCTCCCATGTATAACCTTCTTCTTACTGGCAAGCGTTAGGTAGGCAATTTTAAAGCGTTTCTGGATTTGCAGGCAGCTTGTAACATCGATCTGAGAACTCTATTATATTCTCTGCAATCACAGCAGAAGCCACTCTCTGAAACCTACTTTGCTTTAAATCTTCATTTTCACCTTCTGTTTTTGTTGTTGGGGTAAGGGAAGGGTATTTGTTTTCCTTCTTTTCTTCTTTTTTAAAAAGCAAGAAATGTTGTGGCTGATGTATGCTTTTGGAAAATGATATTCCCCTGCTGATCCCTCCCCTGCTCTGCAGAACAGCTATAAGCAGTGCCATACAGTGACTTTCAGTGTTGATGAACATCTGCTCAACTGCCTAATGTATAGGGCAGGCTGCTCTCTCCTTTATTCTCTAATTTTCCGGTGTCTACCTAACAGCTGCGCACCAAGACCTTCCCTGCTAACCGAGTTCTGCTTTGGTTCCAGAAATGGCTAACAGAGGACCAAGCTATGGCTTAAGCCGAGAAGTTCAGGAAAAGATTGAACAGAAATATGACCCGGAATTAGAGTCTAGGCTGGCGAACTGGATTATCGTGCAGTGTGAGGAACAGATCGAACCCCCTCCTCCTGGAAGGCAGCATTTCCAGACCTGGCTGATGGATGGAACGGTGAGCTATCTGTTTAACTCTCTACTTGAGTATCTTTATGCGTGCAGCGAATTAGTATATATTACTATGTGTCCTTGATTTCTGTCTCCATCCGGCGAAATTGGTCAGAACTCATGGCCAGTGCAGTAAGAGGTGTCCTAGCATCTGACTGATTTCCTTTTGCTTGTGAATCCTAATCTCAGAAAATAATTATTCTGCTGGAGTACTGGGATTAGTATGGTGCTTATGATTCTTATGAGTCATGCACATTATATATGGGAATGACTCATTCCTTCAGTGCCTTTCTTCATGCAGTTAAATGAGATCTGCTTTTAAAACTAGATGTATAATTTTCTCTTTAAGAAATAGTATTTACAGAAAAACAAAAAAGGTGAACAGGTGTTGAAGAAATGTTTTCTTCTTGTGAATCATTCTGTAGCTGTAACAATTGTATCCTTTTGGTTTATTGAACAACAGGCAGATGCTGCTGTTTGCACAGAGCTGCAGAAATACGCTAATCATTGAATCTCTGCCAAAGTGACTTCAACAATATTTCAATTGACGTTGCTTATTTTTTTGGCTCGAGCATGTGGTTTCTTCTCTGTCAGTTGTTACATAACTTACCAGTGATTGCTTTGCTGCTTCTAGCAGATGAGGATTTATTCGGTCAGGCTATTGCCATCGGTTAATGAAAGCTCTAATACCTTTCTAATATACTTTGACTATCATCAATCTCTTGTTTGTTCCTGATAGAAGAAATTACGTCCCTAACAGAAACTGTCTAGATTGAAAGCATTTTACAGCATCATTTCATGTGCAGAAATTTCTCCTAGTTTGGTGACTGCTTTCTCATTTTGTTTCTGTGTTTCTCTCTCAGCTGTTATGCAAGTTAATAAACAGTTTACATCCAAAGGGAAATGAACCCATTGCAAAGATCTCTGAATCAAAAATGGCTTTCAAGCAGATGGAACAAATTTCTCAGTTCTTAAAAGCTGCTGAAATCTACGGAGTAAGAACAACAGATATTTTCCAGACAGTGGATTTATGGGAAGGTAAAAATAATAAACTGGAAGTCAGCTTGCAGTCTTCATTTTACTCGGCTTTGATGTGTTGTAATAGTGCATTTTGTCTAAGGCATATTCTCTAATGTAATTATCTTTTGTTTCTGTTTGCCTTATCTCATTACCATGTTCTTCCAGTGGTGCATTATCTCCTCTGAGGGATTTATATTACCCTGAGGGCATAATGGAGTTTTTCCAAGCTCGTGTGTTATCCAAAAGCCCATCATTTTGACAGAAATCCATAGACCTAATAAAACAACTGCTCTCTATGCTAATTATTTCCAAGTAAAATAGCTTCTAAGAGCAAATAGGGGAAACCCTTATTTTGTGATGACGAGCTTTTATTACAGTTTTCAAATTATAAGCAAAGCTTAAATTAGAGCCATAAAGTGCATTCCCAGGAGCATACATGCCTCTATAGAGCAGATGAGGGCTCCTTTATGATTAGAGAGAGCAGAGCTCACTGCTAATGTGTTAGCTGAGTATCTCTCTGCAACAATAAAGTCTTGCCAGAAAAGTCACTATGGCAACAGCAAAAATCTGAGTGCCCTGTATATTCACCTGGAGGTGAATACACTCCTTCCCGGACATGAAGTGAACATTGTGTGTTGTAGCTGCCGAAGAGTTGAGTCATTTGAGTGTTTGCATGGCTGCTTTTGCCACCTCTGTGGTGATGCGCTCTTCCTGGTGCTCTTGTGAAATGCACTGTGCATCTTGCATCTCTCAGGACAAAATGCAGGGACTCAAAGCAAAGACAGTGCCAGGGTAGTGAAAGGGAGGTGTGCAGAAAACTGGAAGGGTCAAAAATCTGTTGTGAAAATGAAACGGTGGAAGGAGAGCGATCTATTGAGAAAGCCAATCAGTATCATTTGTGTAGGAACACAGGTGGAGTGAAAACACTGAGATCTGTTTTTACAGGCTGTTGGGATATGTGGAAGAGATCAATTCTTTCAAGGACAGCTTCAGGCATGAAACACAGGGGAGCTCTTTGCAGATAGGTTAGAATGGGAGGACGTACTGACAGACTGCATCACTAGGCTCTCAGGGTACTGGGTTCACTGGACAGATCTCGCCTTCGGACACAAGAGCTGGGTTGTTTCTTCCAGGTAATTTTTTCATATTTTTCCAATCTACCTTTAAATATTTTAAATGAAAGGGTTTTTACTTCCCTGGAGTAACATCCTCTTCCTCAGCCTAGCAGGCTGTTGAAAGGGAAGCTCCCTCTATACTAGAAGGGATGATATTAGCTCATTTCAGGTGTTTTTGATTGCAGGCTTCTGCATTTCATAACACTTTTGTGTAATGCAAACAAAAGAACAATATGTGAATCCTTACGATGAAAAGAACTTGGTTTTAAAGGTAGAGCTCCTAATTGTGGTGGCAGTCTCTTCATTTTCTTTCTTTCACTCATCTCCATTCCTCAGCAGATGTAAGAGGAAAAACTTCCAGATCACAGAAAGTCAAAATACAAGTTTCAGCCCAGGGGAGAGATGTACGGGACTTTTCTCCGTGGTTACTTTAGGCCTTCTCAAAACTGATCTTTGTCTCTTCACTTCCCCATTCTCTTTCCATCCCTCATGCTGGTCATTAGAGTGCTGAAGTGAAGCAGCATGTGCAGGAGTAATCATGTGAGGGCTTCTTGCCTAACCATAGCTCTGATCTCCAGCATCAGTATTGTTTTTAGCCTGAAACATCAGAAATTTGACATATTGGCTAGGCAGAAAGGACAGAATCTTTCATAATTGCATAACTTCTACACTTCAGAAAATACTTCCAGGCCACAATGTGTTTAGAGAGGCAGCAAGCATCAACGTATGTTTACATGGAAAGAAAATTATGTGTGGTTGATAAAAGAGTTTCTCTGTCTCTGATTATTTTCCAAGAGCCTTTTTTTTTTTTTTTTTTTTGCTTTGAGATTCTTAGTAATGATTGAAGAAAATGTTTTAGTACGCAATCTGCTGTTGGTTGCTTCAAACTCACTCAGTCCATCTGGTGCATTTCCCAATGGTGTCACCTCTCCTTTGGTCCTTCTTAAAGGAAGAGAAAGGTGAGCAGCCTTTCCTAGTCCATGCCCAAGAGAGCGTGTTTGCTGTTTTACAGATAGCTCCCTGCCATATTTCCAGAGAGGTAAGAGGCAGATGTAACTCTGTTTATAGCCCAGCCTGCACAAAGAAGTGTCTCGGGAATATGGTTCAGAGCAGTTCTCCTCTGTGGGTCTCAGCCCTTCCTTCTGGCCACACTTCCCCAGAGAGAAAGGGAGAGATGTGACCGAGCCCCCCGCCTCCTCTAATATGCCATGCCAAGATTCTCTACAGGGCTTACTGTAAAGGATAAGAGGTTAGATGCCACAAGATGAAGCACATCTGGGGTTTTCCCTGACTGAGGGGCCAATGCATGTGCGGGAGCACTGGGCCCCGCTTGCAGTTGCCCTGCAGCCTTTCCCCTCGCCACTGAGAAGGGAAGCAGAGCTGAGTGCAGAGCAGAGGAGGGGCTGCCAGATGGTTCCACCGGGCCCAGCGGGATATATTGTGCTACCCGTCTTTTGTTTCTTTTCTTTTTTTATCTGTGTGTACGTGCTTGCTGTCGTTATTCAGCTCATTCACTTTTAAATCCTTTTTCCACATCTCTCCTCATCCCTGTTTGTTACCACGATGGGCATCCCAAGGAGGTTATTTATGGCATCAGTTGAGGCATATGGTACATCTGCTGCTGTGGGGAGCTCCGAGCATCCCGCCCCACGCTGCTCCCTGTGTACGTGCCTGTGCAAGAGGCCGACCCTCAGCTGCCCTCCCTCAAGCAGGGACCATCTGACACAGTCTGGTTAACAAACACGGGCACGGGAGGATCCCGGATGGCTGACAATTTGTTTTCTGTACAAATGGTCCCCTGCAGAGAAGATTCCTGTAAACTGTAATGGCCTGTGTGCCAGTCACAGCTGGAAGCCGCAAGTCATTTTCAGCTTTAGGGTGTCATCTTCACCTTAGCCAGTGCCTTATGCAGTGAAGTCTGTGTGAACCAGAGCCCCGAGCTTCATCCACCTGTAATCAGGGTGATGCTTATACACTATGTGCTAAGCTCCTTTCCTGTGCACTCCTACTGGTCTACAGTACTTTTCATTAACACTATTCCATGGGAGGCATTTCTGGAGTCTGCTGTCATAGTCATATCTTGAGCATCACATGATTTTGTGAGGAACTTATATCCCCGTATGAAGAACTTGTGTTCAAAATTAGTTCCTTTAACTAGAAAGGTGATTTCAGGAAAAAGGAAGAATGGGAACAGAAGGAATGCGCGGGGAAGATTTCCAGGGCTTAGGATGCCTTGTGTTGGAGGACACCTCGAAGATCATCTAGTTCTGACCCTCTGCTGCGGGCAGCATTGCCAGCTGCTAAATCAGATTGCTCAGAGCCCTGTCCAGCCTTGCCTTGAACACCTATTTCCATTTTCATTTCAGAAGAAAAAAAAGGTATATGAAACAAAATTTCCAAAAACTTAATCAGCTCACGCCATTGCAAAGATATGTGGCAGCTCCTAGTGAAGTACTTGCTAGAGAGTTTTCTAAATGTCATTGTGTTTGAGTTGGGTAATCAGATAGAATTTGCCTGTTTCTATTTGCTTGCCTAATGTTCTCTGCTTTTTTCACGCCTAGTAGCCAAGTGCAGGGGAAGAAACAAACAAAAAAAAAGTAATATCCTTCATTTTTTCAAGAACAAAACAAAAACACGCACAAAAACCTCCCTCACTTGTTTCTTTTTTAATTAAGTGGAGAAATAAACAGAAGATGTTGATACAAAAGGAAAATTTACTTCTTACCTTAATTTTGGAAGGAAAGATCAGAGGAGTGGGTACTGTTTTTTAAAATAAAAACAAATACTGACAACAGGAATAGCAACATCTTTTGGAAATGAGCCTTATATTTCAAGGTGCCGTCTTGGAAAATTGGTGAATTCTCAAGCAGATGGAAAGCATACATCTAGGCAAGTAATTGACGAGTCCATCACCTCACAGTATAGATGGGAAATTATCCCCTGAGAAGCTTTTTCTCTCTCTGTTGTTTACAGAACGTTAACAAGTAGTGATGACCAGGTATGGTAACTTTACTTGGCTAAAGGGGAGATGAGCACTAGCATTTTGAAATGAGGAATCAAGCGTGGTAAGGTAAAGAGGGAAACTGTAGAAGAATAATGTAAATTAGGACTGGATGACAGCAACTGAAGAGCATCGACTTCTGACAGCCTGTGAAGGGAAGCCAGTAGGAAGGATTTGGGAAGTGATTTGATGGGTAATTTGGGAAAGGGTGGTGCAAGTTAATCTGCACGAGTCCTTTCCAGGACTGCCAGGAACTCTGTCAGCATGAGGACTGTCTGCAACTGCCAGTGCTTATATGATGGGATCAGTTTGCAGGTGAAGCAACAGAGGCACAGCACGGTTATTTGTCACATTGCTCTCCTTCAGCCGTGTTTTACTGAGCACATTATCATTCTTTTTACGCCAAAGTGTTCTCTTAGCACAAAATTTAGAATGGCTTAAAATAGCAAGGGTGAATGCATTGAAATAGCTTTGAAACTTGAAAATTCCCAAATAGTTGAATTTTGCTTTAACACCGTTCCTTTGATAATCTTTTTCATAATCTCTTGCATGTCAGCACTTCAATTTGAGCAATTCTAAAATAGCACTTATAATGCTTCTAGTGTACTTTTTCAAGTAGCCAAGGGAAGCAGTTAATGCATTGGATGAAGGCATTGATCAATGTGCCAAGCTATTTGTTATGTGAGGATTTCTTATATTGGTTTTGCTGTTTGCCTTTCCAGGGAAGGACATGGCAGCAGTGCAGAGAACCTTAATGGCTCTAGGCAGTTTGGCAGTCACCAAGGATGACGGATGCTACAAAGGGGATCCATCCTGGTTTCACAGGTAATGCCCAAGGCGCAGTTTCCCAGAGCTGACTTTCATGGAAAGCTGGTATTATTGTCTGTTCTTGGCCTTCGAAGAAATTTACTGTGGAAGGAAAGGAAGAATCTTTGCAAAATTTCCTTGTAGTGAAGAGATTTCCTTTTTGGAGTCTAAACAAGGGGATCAAATGTCCAACCAGGCAGCAGCACTTTCTGCCCTTCACTGCTTCCCAGCATATCAGCATCATTTGGCCTGTGCCTAACTACATCATGTCAGCCAGAAGTTACACCAGGGCTGCTGAGAAGGAGCCCTGTAGGAGGGATGCAGTGTTTCCATGCTGCTGCCTTTTCTCAGGTAGTCCTCTTCCTCACATCTCTCCTGCCCTGGAGCTGGAAAAGTGCTATTGGTGCCAGGACTGAGCAGCAGCTCACCCACGGCTGCAGCTCTGAGTTCTACCTGCAGGCACCCTTTTCTGTTGAGCTGCCCTGCTTTGGACATATGCACACATATGGAGATCCTACTGGATTTCTTTCTTAGCCTTTTTTTTTTTTTCTTGTGGAGTACCACTTATCTGCAGAGAATTCTCTGTCTTGGAAAAGATGTTTATTTGCTCTAACGCCCCATTTGCCTTGGTTAGGGAGGCTGAGAAGAAGGGCAGAAAAAAAAAAAGGAAATCCTTCTACAGTAACGCCTCTAGCTCACAGACACTGTGTTGAAATGAGGTTCCTCTACCCAAAAGTATTTCTTATGCTAAAACAGCTGAGGCATGTTAACGAAAAGAGTGCTGCCTGCTGGTCATTGGTTTCCCTGAAATTTCTGATGATTAGTTGAGGATCAGCAAGCAAACTTTGCTTATCTTAAAGTTTGAAGTGGTTTAACAGAGGCTAAAGGAGACCTGAAGTTTAGGTGAGCAAGTGTCAACTCCTATACATTCTTCATGTGGCATTCATTTAAATTTACTTCATACAGACCACAAAGAGATTTTTACTTCCTGAATATAATAGGTTTTTAAATTCAAATCCAGTTACATGCTTTAATTTAAACCAGACATGAATTCACCATGACCCAGACAGGCTTATTTGTTTTACGTAACTATAACAAACTATAACAAATGGAAACAACTGAAAAATTAATTTTCATATCTGCTCTTAATTGTGGATGGAATAGTTTTCATTGGCATACTTGAAGATCATCTCCCTCCTTCCCGGCCTGTCTGGGCTACATAGACAGCCAGCCTGCGTCTGCTGCAGTCCCTGAAAGACTGTTTCGTAGCTGTTGCCTTCAGGAAAACTGTTATTTCTATAAGGAGATAACATATGGCAGACTGGGAACTGCTTTCTGAATAGCTTAACCACCCCTTCAGGCAGATGGAGCCCTCTCCCCATCACCCAGCATTATTCATGAGTCAGAGCATTCAGACTGATTCTTAATCACCTTAAGATAAACTGAAAGATGTCAAGATTAAAAGGAACAAGAGTATCCATGCAGGGATCAGCAGTGATCAATAGATCCCCACATATGGGCAAAGCTGCTTAACTTTCCATATCCTGTGTCTTGCATGCCTGCTCCCATCGGGCCTGTCTGCTGTTTCACTGTGTGTCCTGGTGAGGCTCATGGATCCACTGCTGTTTGCTATCTGTGAGTTGGAAGCCTCTGGCTCTGGTGCAAAGTTGGCATGAAAAGTTAATAAGTCTGCACAGTGGCAGAGAAAGTGTTGTTGAGTGATGGCAAACAGGTCAAACACAACTTACAGCAGTGTGAGATGCTCCCACCTCCTTTTCTACAGCCTTTGTTATGCCTGCTTCCACCAGCCTAAAAGCAAATCACAAGTACCTGCTGTTATCTGTAAGACTATCATATTCTAAGGGCAGCATTTATGATTGTAAAAATAACACCACGTGATCCAAACGATACAAGTAATCAACTTTTATTAACATATCCTTGGTCTCTTTTTTAATTTTTTCTGTGCAGTTCTTATTTTTCTTTCCTAGTCATACTTACATATCAACTTCCTCTGGATTCACTCCACAGCACAGCTGAAAAGTCCAAGGGGAAAAAAAGGTAGATCGTGTTTCTGGGATTTTAATTAAAATGGAGACAGTCACAGTGAACCTGAGATTCAATTATGTAATAGGAGTAGTTCCAAAAACATCCTCTCTCAGAGATACTGGCAGTGCTTTGCTGCCCGCGTAAGGGTTCTGGAAAAGAAATTTTGCAGCAGTGATACAGAATTGCTGTATGAGGTGCCCAAAACTCTGTGTGCCTGCCTCCAAAATGGCAGTTGGAAAAGTTGCAAAGATTAGTGCAGTGGTAAGGTACAAGATACAAGAGCGAAATGGCAAAAGGGATAAAGAGGAAAAGAATGCTCCCCTCATCTCCAGAGATCTAGGCTTACAGGGAAAACTCCACAAGGAAGGGATCTCCAACCAGAGATCCTTCCCCTCTGGCAGTCAGCTCTTAAATGAGGTCTAAGAGAGGTGCAGCCAGGCTCCACCCCTTCTGGTCATACAGCTGAATTGCCTTCACCTGTGCTCCCAGGGCTGACCTGCTCCTTTCCCCAGATGATCAGTCAGGTTCAGGCTGTGACTCAACAGTTCCCATACACATGCTTTCTGAGAAGAGCCTGTGGTAGGGTGCTATAAGCCCTCGTACTCATCTGCACATTGGCATGGGATCCATTCTTGAGAGATCTGAAGTGCTCTTCTGGACCTGAGCTCAGCCACTGTACAGGATCAGATCCTCACAGAGGATTGTGTTGGTGACTTTCAGTCATAGCAGGCACCCAATCTAACATTCCCATCTTGTGATGGAGTGAGGAGAAAAGGGAATTGTAATGTGTTGTCATATTGCTAGATAAGCTGATCTCAGGACAAACAGACACAGATGGCAGAGAGATTGTACCTGGATGGCAGCTGGCTGAAAGCCTCCCTCCCTTTGAGACTGTAGGTTCTTGCCATTTATTTGGCAGTAACAGATTGATCCTTCTCCCTTGTAAGTGACTTGTTTTCCCCACCTTGTGTAAATGAAAGATTAATCAAGTACAGACTTTTGTGCTTCTTTTTTTTTCCCCAGTGCTATTTTCAGGGAAAAGAGGCTCTTTTTAAGGTCCAACAAAGATTCATTGATCTGGATGGCTTTTGAGACTGCTAATGCCAAGCAAAAGTAGTCAGCATGTTTTGGCAGAAGATAAAGGACTGTCATACAGTTAAGACACAGGTGCAAAGGCCAAAGTCTATTGCTTTAGAGAAGAGAGATCTGGAAATGGCAACAGGGCAACTGTTCTGTCCTGCAGGCAACCATCATCCACACTTGTGAAAATGAGCAAGCCACTTTGCTGTCCCTTTGTTTCTCTGGGTACATTGCACTCACACTGACTCCACTGGGTTGAATGTATACCATTGATGTAGACAGATATCAATTTGTACTACAGAACAGATAAGTATCTTAGTGATCAGATCCTGTAGACTACAGCTTCTGAGAGCTATAGGACAAAATACAAACTCTATCACAAGTGGTATACAGAGCACTACATAAATATTTTACCTATCATAGTTGCTGGGCAAGCTATGATCCTGAAGGTTGTGAGTAGGTGGTACAGAGAAAGACTGAAGTGGTGTGGGTTTGAAGAGAGCACTTCTAACTGCAGGAAAGCAATTAGCCCAGCCAGTATTGTCCATCCAGGAGGATGGTGCAAATTAAATACAGCAGTACAAGGGAGGAGCTGTTAACATGAGCCAATTTCAGATTGCTTTTCACGATCATCTGGACATATGCAGAATGTGTTGTTTTTTTGTATGCAGGAAAGCACAGCAGAATCGACGGGGGTTTTCAGAAGAGCAGCTTCGTCAGGGACAGAACGTAATAGGCCTTCAGATGGGCAGCAACAAAGGAGCCTCACAGTCGGGTATGACGGGCTATGGGATGCCAAGGCAGATTATCTAAAAGCACCTCTGTCTGTAGAGAAAACACTCCTGCAGCATGGTCTGTTCAGCAACAACAGAAAAAGAAAAAAAAAAATAAAAAAAAAAGCTCATTAGTTCTCTTTCTGCCTGGTTTTAATAGTTAGTGCTCTGAGGTGTGGGGTATTTTTTGTTTGGTTTGTTTTATTTGCAGCTACAGGAGTTCATCTAGGAACTTGGGTTTTCGTGGTGTTGTGTGTCAGTTCACAGCACATGCGCACTGCTGCCTCCTACTTTTCACTTCTGAACTATGCAAAGACAATTATTCTGTTTTAATTTATTTGCAAAGTGTTATCTTCCATATTTGTCTCACATTTCTCTTATATCTCAACCAGTAATCTCGTTCTTCAATTCAGTGATGACATTGTTTGATCTAAGAATAAAGACATTTAAACACATATTGGCCTCATTTTTTTGAAGGAAAGAACAGCAATTTGAACCTCTTATAGCATGGTACAATGCTGAGGAATGACATGTTTTGATGGCTCAGCCTTTCTTGCCTGTAACTCCATCCCAGCCAAAGTTGGTAGAACCAACAGTGAGTCTTCATGACAGCAATGCAATCCTCAGAGAGTTCTTCACTTTGAAAGGAAAATCTGTCAGAGGTGAAAACTGTGAAAACTGTGCTGGCTGATGTTACATCAAACAAAACACTGCAAACTAAGGTGTGTTTTAAGCACTTAGAAGAAACAAAAGAGGTGTTCCAGAAAGCTCCAGACATTATTACCACTTGTTTGAATTCAAGGATTTTGTTATTCTCATCTCTGACGGAATGCAAACTGGACAAATAGTTGATTATGAGAGCCAATAGAAGCACTGCTTGCTGGTGCAGTCATCTGGCCACAGGAGCTCACCAGAGTAGTTCACCTGACCCTTAGTGCAGATTGCACATCACACATACATTCAGGGGGCACGCTATTTTCTCAGCAAGTTTCTTTCCTGTTAAGAATTCACTTGCAGATCCCAATCAATTTTTTTTCCTCTCAGCAAGTAGGAAGGGAAATGGGATAACTTTGTGAGCTTTTAAAATTCATAACAGAATTCCAAGAAGGCCTGAAGACATAACATCTGGAAAGCTAATAACCTGTTGTGAGGGGCCTACACAGAAGTAGTGGTGACTTCTGTTTGCCGCATGCTGCCCTGTGTGTGTCTGAACCTAGTGACCCCCAGTGGCAGCTAGTTGCCCACTGACTAGCCCTGGAGCCAGTGGCTCACACAATGACACTGCTTCAAAAATTTCTACTGGTGTGTAAACTGGGAGGGTGATTCTCCCATCCCAGATTAAGCTTCAGCCTACCTGTCAGGAATGTGAGAAAAATACCTACCCACTTAATTCAAGCTTTGGTGAAGCTTGATAAAGCACTGCAAAGCGCAACAAGTGAGAAATGATGTAAAGGTCACCACATGAGCTTAGGGCTGAGCTAATCTATGGCAGCTGCTGTTAAAAAGGTCCTGCCCCCATTTGTAGCTTCTCTTCAACAAACCAGGGCAATCTGGTTCTTCCACTCTGCTCTTGTTGAGCACTTTACTTTGGTGTTTGCTACCTGCTTAGAGCTATCTTCCTATTACTGAGGTGAAATAGCTCAGTACAGAGCAGGTGTTTGAAATGGTGTATTTAGGGCAAGATCTCAACCTGCAGCTGTAGTAGTTTAGCTTGGTGCAATTTATAACATATAACCTAACTTGCTCACAACATATAACCTAACTTGCACACTGGGCATATTATGCCTCCTTTTGTTAAGGCAACCTCATCTTGGAGAACACAAATATGAAAAGCAGCCACTTTCTCCTAACAGAGACTAGGAAGTTGCACTTAGTGCAAACAAAACAGCATGCATTCTTATCAGATAGGTGGGAGGAGCTAGAAGAACCTGCCAAGTAGGCAAGAGAGGCTCTTAGCCTGCCCCACACCATTCGAAAGTATGCAGCCTGCAGAAGCCAGCTCTGAGCTGGATGATCTTTGTCTCTCCATTTGAAAGAGTACAGGAGCCTGGATGTTTTTTCTGGTCCTTGTGCTTTATTCTCCATCTACATCTATGGTTGTTGCAATAAGGTAAGTCGCAGTGTAAGAAAGACCCTGCCTCTGAGAAATGTTCTTTCACCAAACCTACATTCCCTAGTTAAATGTGCTTTCATTAGGTTTGGCATTCTAATGGCCTCACTAGGTTACAGAAAACACTGTATGCTTGTGCAACACCAACATGGTATGTTTAACATGCCTTGTATAGGCAACAGTAGCCTGTGCTCCAGGGAAGAAAATCTGTATCCAGTGGTGTTTGCATAGTGTGACAACAGCATTGGAAAGCCACAGCTGGAATGTCATCCTTGGAAGGCCTTCCCCAGCTCACAGAACCCTTTTTCATCACCTGAATGGCCCTATAGTAATCCCCTTAAGTTGCACCAGGGGAGATTTAGTTTGGATACTAGGAAAAATTTCTTCTTGGAAAGAGTGATGAGGCATTGGAACAGATTGCCTAGGGGGGGGTCACTGTCTCTGGGGATGTTCAAGAAAAGGGTTGATGCAGCATTGGGCAGCATGGGTTAGTGGGCATGGTGGTGATGGGTTGATGGTTGACTAGATGATCTTCGAATTCTTTTCCAACGTTAATGATTCTATGATTCTAAAACCATCGAGCTGACCTATCTATTAATGCCTGGCAGGAGATGCTCCAAAGGTTAACTTTATCCTTTTGTGTTCACATATGATGATGCCAAAATGCAAGCATTATTATTATTTAAATATTAACATGTTTTGACTTACTTACATCCTTCCATTAAAATGTGCTTCTTAACAAGTTCAAAAACATCTTAAGCTGTAAATTAATACAGTACAAGGCTGGTTGAATAACAAAGATGACAGGAAGGAAATATGTTTTTTCTTATACAAACAGTAAACTACTGTAAGCTTGCTTCTGTTGCATTAAAAGCACTTAGGTGGGTCTCCCACAAGCCTCATTAATCTCTATGACAATCTGATGTATCATTCCTGCTAAAAGGCTGAATATATATTAGAAATGTGTTAGTGTTGTCAGTGGTAGAGATGTACTCAACAAATGTCAAACGTTGCACGTGCACTGGATATAATTATTCTTGTGTTCAGCGGGGCCTGAAATGTGAGCAAAATGTGAATTTTGTTTCACAAAGGGAGAAAGTGCATGCACCTTGAGTAGACATAGTGTGGTGTGATGGTGTGCCTGCCATGTGGGTCTGTGTTTTCTGTAAACTGTGGGGCTGAACTGTATCTTGCTTCAGGTGTGGGCTCAGTTAAACGGCAAGTATGAGCTAAGGGAAGCCCTCTCCCGTATTGCTAATGGCCCTTCTTGAAGCACAGCCATAGCTTGAGCAATGAACCTCGCTTAAAAGCAACACAAAATATTCATGTAAGCAAATGCTTATATATCATTGCCCAACAGCCGGCTGGGCCAGAAACACTGTTAGCATTGCCTCCCTGTGCTTCAGTTTGCTGTAGCAGTATAAATGTGAATGGTATGTATCTGCTTTCATGAAGGCTTTATGACCATGAGCTCATTACAGACAACTATTTAATCATTCCTTTTTAATTGTAAGGTGATCTCTTACGTCCTTATGAAGGGATGTTCTATAGGCATCCACATACCTGAACGTGGAATCTGAGTTCATCCCCATTTATAATGAGAGCTGAAAGAAAGTAAATAAAATCAGTGTTAGGTTCAGTCAGCTCAATTAAGCCAGAGCTTTACAGGACTGCTAGGCTAACATAACATGACAAGTTTTAAATTAAAAGGAATGAGGGTGCACATCACGAGGAGACCTCACTCCTCAGTAAATCTGCCTGTGGCATCACTTTGCAGCATGCTTCTGAAGATGATCTGTTTCCCTGGCTGCTGAGGTCAAGGCAAAGCTACAAGGAAGGAAAGAAGGATAAAGCTTCAGTGCATCAGGATTTTGTTTCTGTATTTGTAATTGATTGTATTTGGCTCTGCCTGCGTTATCTGAGAGTTGTTGCCCGTGTCTGTCTTGTGTGATAGCAAGGCTAACACTTAATAAGGATAGGCACAAGCAGGCCACTCAATTGGCCAAGAAGGCCAGTGGCATGCTAGCTTGTGTCAGAAATAGTGCATCCAGCAGGAGCAGAGAGGTGATCATTCCCCTGTATTCAATACTGGTGAGGCTGCATCTCAAGTACTGCATTCAGTTTTGGGTCTACCACTACAAGAAAGACATTGGTGCTCTGAAGCGTGTCCAGAGAGGGACAACAAAGCTGTGAAGGGTCTGGAGCACAAGTCTTAAGGAGAGCAGCTGAAGGAACTGGGATTTTTCAGTCTGGAGGAGGCTCAGGAGAGACCTCACTGCCCTCTACAACTGCCTGAAAAGAGGTTGTGGTGAGGTGGGGTTTGGACTCTTCTCCTATGTGTAATGGTGATAGGATGAGAGGAGATCACACGAAGGGAGGTTCAGGTTGGATATTAGGAAAAATTTCTTTTTAGTGGTGAAGCATTGGCACAAGTTGCCCAGGTAGGTGGTGGAGTCACCGTCCCTGGAGGTGTTCAAAAATTCTGTGGATGTGGCACTGAGGAAAAAAGTTAGTGGGGATGGGCTGATGGTTGGACTAGATGTTCTTAGGTCTTCTTCAACCTTTATGATTCTATGATTCTTGGATTGGTGAAATGGCAATATATCCCAATAGAAATGAGCTTTACATGTGCTGAGAAGGCCAGCAAGCACCTTGCACTTAGCCTCCCTAGTGGCAACCTTGTTGTTTCCCAAGGCAGGGAGCAAGGGCCTAAGGTGAGCACAGGAAGTCCCCAAATACACAGAGAGGTGAACCAACAGTTATATCGGCATGTGTCTCTGGTACTCAGCGTGCTTTTGACAGGGAACCTGTGTTGTGCCATTCAGAGGGGCTTGCTGCTCTGCAGGAGAGGCCTTGGACACAGGGAAAGCACAAGCTACTAGTGGGGAAGTGTGCACAGCAGCCACATCTCCTGCTATTTAAGCAGCTTAATCTCTTAAACTTCACAGAGATTGTTCCTCCCACCTGAATTCATAAATAAAAACACCACTGTTCAGTGACTAAGCCCAAGCTATAGAAATTCAAGAGGTAAAACAGCAGAAGGATATTAACTGTTGCAGTGTGGGAAAATCACAGCCTTGGATGGAAGGCAGTTTTCATCCTTCTGTGTTCATGTGCCAGCAAAGTGCGTGATGCTGTGACATTCACGTGAAGATATAGCACTGTTCCTCAAATACAGAAACAAACACGTCTGTCATTTTATTGGATTTATTAAAGAAATTAGCGTGGTGACCTTTCTTCCTAATGAACTTTCTATTAAATGGCTCACATCAGTAGACATGTTATTTGGTGAGTAAGTCCTGCACTGCCCTGCAGCCTGAAAGGTAGGGTAAGGCCTCACACCAG